AATAAGCAACAAGAACATACGAATAAAAAATTAAAATGATAAGTTTTAGTATTTAAACTCAATCTAATTTAAAAGCATTTAAACTTCGTGTAACAGCTACAGAGTGACTTTAATCACTATTTGAATGTATTTATGATCAGAATTAAGAACTAAAAACATTGTATACGTACAAAAATCTTTTTCGATGTTGTTTTTTATTGCTGTATTCTGTTGTTTCATTCTATATCGATATTTCCTTAAAGTATATTTTTTCTTTACTTTCAATTCCACAGATAATCCATTGAGATGCGATTGTAGAATAAAGTGGATACTCCATCATCCTTTTCCGAAGTATATTTATGGGAAATGCATGGAACCAAATGAATTGAAGGGAAGATTACTGCATTCTTTAGAACACTTAGAACTATTGTGCTTCTGAAAACATGGCTCTAAGTTTGAAGTATCTTATTTGGATCTAATTATATTTTCTAGGATAATAAAAGGTTAATAGATATTCTTTTATTTTGTTTTTCCCTGACATAATCGAGAAAATGTGCAATCTATATATTTTTTATAACACATTTGTACACTGCAATCAACCCGTTGACATTTTAACTCGAAAAGCGTTAGCAACAAAAACCAATCAGATGTTGTTTACGGCGAATTGACACTAGTGTCAGCAATCACTATTAATGTTTTGCACGGTCCGTAGTACAACATAAGATCTCATACTTCATAATAGTGTGGATTTCCGACATATTCATTTTCAACGATATTTATTTTTAAGAAGTATTTAATATTTTCAGATTTTTCAATTTAATATTTTCAGATTTTTTTAAATAAACGAGACGTGCAACGTTCCAAAAATAAAATGATTGAATATTAACATTTTCCTTCACGTTTTTTAAAAAGTAAGATTAATAATTATTTTCAGATACAGGAAAAAAAAAGCCCAGCGACAATTGCTTGAGGGAATATTTTTTTTTGTCGCTTTGCGTATCTGCAAAACTGCAAGTTATAATTTCACTGAGATCCAACATAAATGTAAACAACAGGCTCTTTGAAATAATAAACACAAAAACATCAGAAATCAAATATAAACTGATGTATAATAATTAAAATGAGTGAGGCTACAAATTGCAATAATAAAACATTGAATAATTCTTAACGAAATGTCAGTCGGTGCTAAACCGAGGAAGCTACAAGCGGGAAATAGCATGTCCTTCAACTTTGAAACTAGCACAGATTGGTGGTGAATGGAATACCTGCAAGTGACGTAGTGTGGGTATCTCTATCCTGATTGGTTGTTGAAAAGTGGCATTTGTTTATCCTAGCAACGGTTCTTCCCATTCTATTTCGAGTAAGCCAAGCCCGTCAAGTATCAATTCGCACAAGTGACACATACTATATTTTTGCAGAAGGATTTCAATTCTTTCACTTTATACTTCTTACTCAACACAAAGACAGCCACGTAGAACAAAAGGAAAATAACTATGCATCGAGGCTTCCAAGTACACAAAATAAAAATATATCAATCACGGTTACAGTAAAATACATAAACACACATAAATCTTAATTAAGTAAGTAAAAGACGCAGACGAGAAGGAATTAGACTTAACTCGATGCGTGATATGGCACTGTATTTAATTAACTTTAATTTAATAAACATTTTAGCTTATGAGGAGAAACTTAAACACGCCATTACAAACGATCAGCTGGTGCTGACGGCATAGGTCATGTGTGTGGGTATATGTGATCTTCTTCTTGAAGTACAAGTACCCAATTCTTTTCTCTTAATATGTCAATGTGCAACGCAGTTTTCATTGTTAAATTATCGAAGGCAGCAGAGAAAATCAGATTCAAATTTAGCTTTGCAAATATGCAAAGGAGCGCAATGAATTGTTAAGTTAATTTCGAATAATATGTTGTTAAAATTGACAATATAATTAACTATAGAGTTCACCCTTAATATTTATTAAGTCAAATTGATTTACAAATTTCCTGAAGCAAATTATTGTTTGCTTTTACTTCAAAATTCTTTCTACCTTGATATCAGATCTTAATATAAAAACTTCTCTTTTAAAAATTTAGCGTTAATAACCTAAGACAATATAATTTTCACGAAAATTGAATGGATTAAGTATGGAAGTTAAAAAAAATAAGTTTGGGACAACAGGCGAGAACAGATTGTTTATGATGGAAAAATTCCAGTCGTTTTATTTGATGCATGTCTTAATCATTATTTTTGAGCTTTTTCTTAATTTTCATTTTTTATTTTTAAAAAGCAAAGATCATTCTGTTTAAAAATTGTATAATTATTATAAATTTATGTAAGCACATTTTGCAAGTTTTTTAATCGCATCAAAATACACAAATACCTTGTTTTGAAAAACAATCCACGTAATTAAAAAGAAAAAATAAAATGAAGAAAATAAAATGTGTAAGACAATGATAAGAATTTAAAGTGAATCAAATGTACTCGTCAACGATATGTATAAATAAGCTGTTGTAGTTCTAGTTCATTTACGTCACACTAGAGCTGCACAATGGGCTATTGGCGATGGTCTGGGAAACATCCCTGAGGATGATCCGAATACATGCCATCACAATTTTGATCCTCAGCAGAGGGGATGTCACCCGCGCTTCGGTCGACGACTGCACGCGAAGTCGAGCACTTAACGGTAGAACAGTTTAACGAGGACCAATACCGCACACCCTCGGTCCCTACGCAGACTGATCCAAGTGGTCACCCACCCGCAAACTGACTGCAGCCAGCGACGCTTGACTTCAGTGATCTGCTGGGGGGAACCGTGTCATAACCATCAGTCCACTGCGGGACACATCTGTATAAATAAACTTATGTCTTCATAACAATTAAAAGAGAATTATAGTTATTTATAAAAATTTCAATGCATATGTTATAATGTTTTGCATGGTAAAATTTAATCTCTTTTTTATTTCTCCCTTATTATTACTTTTTGACATGAACTCAAGAACAAGCATATAAATAAAAGATCCCGAAATAAATAATCTTTTTTGCAATATTCGGTCAGTATTGAAAAGAAAACATCGATCAAGAATTTTCCAAAAAAGTCCTTAAAATAACACTAGTTTTGAAACAAATTCGAATTTCGGAAGAAAAAAAAACCCTATTCTATTAATAAAAATTATCATTTTATCTCATCTTTTACCCTATTTTAACGCTTTAATTGCTTGCCTGCGGTCCATTAAACTACAAGTTTAACATTATCGAACTAATAATAATCAATCGTTATTTTTTTATTTCATACTACTCCCATACTATTTTACACATTTTCCTTATTTGAAGTTTCTAAGTACTGCCATTTTTGAGCAGCAAATCAGCATGAAATTTAAAGATGAAGACCCAAAACAATGGCAGAGGTTAGAGTCCGGAATTTTTGCGGTTTTCTTCTCCATGCATCGCAAATGCAAGTTAGTTCCTTCTAAAAGATCTCTCAGTACTTGATCCAGGATGTCCCATGTCTTTTGCAAAAAGGCTCAAAGTTACAAGGATACAGAGTTGAGCATTGGTAGTCGTGAACTGAAAATTCGGTCGGCTGTTCAACGAAGGTTACAAGATAAAATAAAATATTTTATAGGAGGCTCAAAAATAGAGGGTTCGCCTTCCAATGAGGTGAACTGGGTTCGAATCCCATCGATACGGTTGATACGAATTCCGCACTTGATTTCATCGTCCACCGTGCTGACGTTAAATATCCTGAGTGGTAGATAGATCATAAGTTGGAGTCTATTTGCCTTGAGGTTAACCATAACACGTTTTTGTGGATTTCCACTTCATGCAACACAAATGTGGGGAATTTCCATCTAAAAGTCCTCCGCGAAAGCAAATTTCTCCCAATACTTGATCAAGGAGTGCCTTTTCCAAGTTACTTTAAGGGAACTAGGAGGACTTTGTGACTTCGACAAATTTAACGTGCACCAGTTACCATTTAAAGCACGGAGATTGCTCGAAGGGCTGGATTCAAAGAGATTGTTCGACAATTGAGAGAGGTTGTACTACGGGCTGTACAGCACCGATCATTAAATATGTTTGAGTGGGAATGAATTTTAATTTCATCTTTATTTTATCTTATATTATTATAACCAACTTAATATTGTTATTACAGTCAAACCCCGCTCTAGTGAACACGGCTTATAGTGAACTCCCGGATATAGTGAACGAAATGCTCGGTCCCGTGTAGTGGATATAATGAACCAAAAAAGTGAGGAAGTTGGATATAATGAACTTTTTCTGTCTTCAACTGATTTCCCCCCCATTTTCTTTGTAATAATTTTGAAATTTGTACTTCAAAATAAATACATATACCGATTTTTAAAACCATCTATAGAAACTACTTTTATGTGCTCGAATGGTAGGTTAGACAGGTTTAAAAAGAGGAATTACAGAAATTCAGGAAAAATTATCTGAGAGTCGGGAAGTGTTTCCATATCTGATGTTGAGGATTGCTTATCAACTAAAGATTACTAATTTTTATTTGTACGCAAGACGAAAAGTGATGAAAAATAGCACATTTTTTGCTACTACATAATATTTTTCAGTCATTTATATGAATATAATGTAATAAAAGGGAGGAGTTTGGGAACCATTATTGAAATTGCCTGCGTAACGGATATAGGGAACTCCCGGTTATAGTAAACCGAAATTTCAGTCTCTTGAACCTTCACTATAGCGGGGTTTGATTGTATTACAAATAATATTTTATATTATCAATTATGCTCTCTCTTTCATTAAAATAAAAGTAATTGAGGGAATTTTAATCACGAGATGAAATAGCTTCATCACTTAATCATACATTATATGCATACATTGAATATCTTTCCACAGAGGAATATCAGAGGACTGGGGTTCCGAGAGGCTATTTAAATCTCGGAAGGGTGTAACAAGTTTCTAAATTATTTAATATTAGATACATGAGTAAAATCACTTAAAATAGTTCCTTATATTTTTATTATTTTGTTTGAAGATATTTTATTGTTCACTCGATTAATATATACTTCACTATCGACCCGGTAGTCAGATTATCTGTTGCATCCGTGTGTTCTTAGAACTGAGATAAAATAGACAATATGCCCAAGTTTCAGTTTATCGCATAGCCATTCAAGTTCAAAATCAATCATGTCTGTTTTCAACAGTGTTATTTTAATTTTATGTTTCTCGGTAGAATGTATTCATATGAAACAAGTAGCTTCTTTCTGCGCAAGAACCTTCAACACAATTAACGGTTACAAAATAGAATGTTCAGGAATTGATAATCCTGATAATCTAAGAAAGGCTTTTTATAAGTCTAATGAAGGTAACTCTCCCACAGAAGCAAAAACGGTGGCTATAGCTGATTCTGACTTTTCTTACATTCCTCATGATTTGTTCCAAGATTTTAAAATAGGTACGATAATAATAAAGAGTACTACTCTTTCCTCTCTTAGTGATACGGACACAGCTTTTGATGGATTAGAGAAAGATTTAAGAGTTATTGAAATACGTGATTCCTTTCTTTTTAAGGATTTTGATTGGTGTCAACTGAGAAATTTGAAAAGAGTGTTCCAGATTCAGTTAAATAACATTGGATTGAAATATATTGATAGTGATGTGAGATGTGCGTCCTATGTGGAATTTTTATACCTAGGAAGCAACAGAATTTCGTACATTAGTGATCAGGCATTCACATCATTTGCTCAACTTAGGAAAATAGATTTACCAAAAAACAAGATTTCAGAGATGAAGAGAAGTATGTTTCCGAGTCCAGCAAAGAAACTTTATAAGATTAATTTAAGGTAATAAATTTTTATTGATTAAAATTTTTTTTGTATCAATTGAAAATTACTTTAATGATTTAATAATTAACTAAATTAGTTAATAATTTATTGAATTAAATATTAATTTATTGAATTAATTAATAATTAATTGAATTAATGAATAATTAATTGAATTAATTAATAATTAATTGAATTAATTTATAATAAATCGAATTATTAATAACTTATTGAATTAATTAATAATTTATTGAATGAATGAATAATTAATTGAATAGATAATTAATTAATAATTAATTAAATATATTAATGCTTGATTAAATATATTAATACTTAATTAAATATATTAATACTTAATTAAATGAATTAATAATTAATAAAATTAACAACAAGAAGAAACGATTTTAGACCATTTTCTTCTTATATTGTATACAGATATACGAATAGCAAGTACGATTGAATGCGTTTTAAATCTTGTTGCAGTTTTTAATGAAATGTTATTTTTTAAATGCATGCCCTATTATTATTTTAAGAAAATATATAAATGCAAGTTTGATAAAATGCCGAGTTCTTATTCATTTTGCTTGTATTGGCAAATAAAAGAAAAATGCATAGAGTAAAAATGGTGTATATCGTCAAAGTTTAGGAATTTCAAAATAATAGTAATAATTAAATTAAAAATTCTATGCAGAGACAAATTGTTAAGTACCCTACACTTAGTAAAGGGCGAAAAGTCACCCAAAGACGCGCGTTTCGTTACTTTGAAATGAAAGAGACTAAAACACGTTAATAAGACAAATAATTCAGAATTTGCTAAGATTTTCATGACGGTGACTTGTCGTTATTTACATTTTTAAATTTGCTATCTTAGTAGTTCTCTAGTGAAAAAATTATTGTAGTACCTCACTAGTAAAATAATTGTTATAGTAACTCTCTAGTAAAAAAAGTCAATTATGGATATCTGTCTAGTTTTTCATGGATTTCCTTCGAAAAGTTTATTCTTATATCTTTTATAATTATTTCAATTATTCATAGCACTATAAAGTTAATTTCAAATATGGTCGAAGCCCATACATCCCCCAAAAATTTTCTACCTTGAAGCAGCTTTTTTATTCTCTTCTTAGTAAATGATAAAAAGTTGCAGGATTCACTAGCCTTAAGTGAGAGGGTTTTTGCGACAAGTACATTTTTTCTAAACACATTTTCTTCATGATCTGTGACATGACTTTGAAAATTAAAACTTAATTTGTTTTTGTGTTTTCAGTTTCATTCAGATCTCTTCTCTTCCAAAGGATTTTTTCACAAACATGCCCCAGTTGGAAATGCTTGATTTGAGTGAAAATAACTTCCACACACTTGACGAGACTCTATATGCTCCTGTCTGGAAAAAAGTATCTTCAGTTTCGCTATCAGGTAAAAACATTTTTGTTTCCTTTCTCTCTAAATATTGGACACAAAATTCTTTTTTTCAAAACCAATACTGTTAAATACACTGTAAAAATTACATACTTAACTTTTACTATCATAAAAAATAAAAATATGTATAGTTAATATTTACGTCATTTTCTTATTTACATAAACAAAAAACTACTATTCAGTTTCTGTGTACACTGTTAAAGTAAAAAACGATATTTTTTGCATATTTGTAAAATTTTTCTGCTTCAAATTTTCAAATAATACTTTGGAACACAAGCTAATATCGTGACTTATTGAATACTTGTCCTTCATACGGAGTAAAAAAGTAGATAATTAATAAATCGGTATTAATTAACAATACGGAATAATGCACAAAACTGAATGTCGCATGGCCCCTTAATTAAAACAATTTCAATATTTTCTATGTTTACATTCAATATTTCATAATTATTTACATTCTTCAGTTAAACAGTACGTTCTTCAGTTCGCCCGGAGTGTCTGGTTATAAGGGAGCCAAACGAGACGCAGATTTAAAGTTCTCTAAATTATTGATTTCCTCCTTTTTTAAAATATTATTTGTTTGAGCTATGGTGGCTCAGGGGATAGAGTGTTCGTCTTCCAATGCCCTGAACCGGGTTCGAAAAACAGCAATGGCTGGTCCATACGAATTCTGCACCCAGCTCTTACCGATCACACTGCTGACGTAAAATATCTTCAGTGGTAGATGGATCATGAGTTAGAGACCCTTTTCCGTCTGGCTTACCGTGGGAGGTTTTCGTGCTCCTCTTCGTATAATGCAAATGCGAGTTAGTTCCATCAAAAAGTCCTTCACAAAGGCAAAATTCTCCGAATACTTGATCCAGGAGTTCCCTAGTCTTCTGGATTCGGTTCAAAATTAAAAGGCTACGGAGTTAAGCATTGGTAGTCATAAACCCATAATAGGGCCGACTGTTCACAGACGACAAGATAAAATTAAATAAAAGACAGATAAAATAAAATATTGTTTGGTTGAAAAATATATTTATTGGTTTTCATTTTTCAATTATGCATTCCCAGATTAACCTTCTTATGGTTGAAAATTTTCAAAGCAAAAGTTAAATTTAAGCTTTACGCGAATATTTCCAAAGAGGTAATGCATGGCAAAAACAGAGAGGGGACTAGACCTTACTGCTTTGTTCTTTTTGTACTTAAATGGTCATGGTCAATGGTTTTGTCTGTAAATGGTCATGGAAAAAACTCAATGGTTAATCAAAAACTCAATGATTACATTAACTAACTGAATTAATTACAATAATAGTCCGAATCCATAAAAAAAATTGTATCTTTATTCAGAGAAAGTACGTTTTTGTGGCTGATTTAGTTGCATAAAATATTGTCTGCACCAAATAATAATTAGCATATTTGGGGTCACCCCTTTGAGCCATTGAGATAGAGTCTTATAAAGGTAAAATTTGATCATTAGATTAAAAGTTATTAAGGGTGATACCTTTTATTTTTGATGTATTGTACATAAGAAGTACTTAATACTACACCTGTTGTCTATTTTTCTATAATTAATTTAGCATCACTGAGATCAATGACTGTTTGGAAATTTATTTTCGGCTCCTCAAAGCTGATAATCTATTGTTTATGTTTTCTTTTACGTCAGATTATGTCAGAATCAGATCATTACAGAAAATTCTGTTTTCTTTTACTTTATTTTTACTTTTACTTTTAATTCTACAGGCAATCCGTTAAGATGTGATTGCAGAATGAAGTGGTTGCTTAAACAAAAATTTCCTTGGATTACCAGTGGAACTTGTATGGAGCCTATTGAACTGAGCGGAAGAGAAATAATCTCTTTAAATAAATTAGAACTTTGGTGTTTCTAGAAAAAAGCTCAAATAGTAAATTATACAATTGAAATCCTTTTGCAACAATGTACAAATAGCTCAATAAAAGCATTCCAACTATTTCTGAATCCTATATATTTGTAATAATATAATAGTTAAAATAGAGAGTCAAAGAAATTTTACCACATTAGAAATTATGTAATTCTGTCATTACTAAAGTATTATTATTTTAAAATTACGTACTTGCACTTCAAGAAGAGGAAGATCAAAAATACCCACACTTGTGACCAATGATGTCAGGCTAGTTGATCGTTTATGAGCAAAATGGCGTGTTAAAGTTTTGCTAAGTTTCCTCTTGTAAGTATATTAATTAATGTGAAGTAAATTAAATACAGCGCTTTATCAAACATTGAATTTATTAAAACACATTTCTTTCTCATTTACGTCTTTTACTTAACTTACATTTATTATTTGTTTACACATTTTATGGTAGCAGTGATATATTTTTATTTCGTGTACTTCGATTCATAATTAGTTTGTTTATGTTCTGCATAGCTTTGTGTTAAATAAGAAATATATATGGAAGGAATTTAAATCTTAGTGAAATGATAGAGAATGTGTCACTTAAGAGAATTGAAATTTGGCAGGCTTAGCTTAATCGAAAATTAATGGAAAGAGCAGTTGCTAACGTAAACAAATACCACGTTTCAACTACCAATCAGAATCCGCACTACGTCGCCATCAGGTTGTATTTTGCCATGCAAAGTTATGTTTTTTAAAATGATGCAAAAAATTACTATTCAAAAAATTTTCTACCAAAATATATAAAATTATAAAAAATAATAAATATCTATTAAAAATTATTTTTTGTATGGAATTATCTTTGGATAATTGTATTTTATAATTTTTTAAAAATTTTCTCAATTCGCCTAAAAAGTACTCGAGATATGGCGAAATACGCAAAAAATAAAATTAACATTAAGGGGTCCAATTTTCTGAGAGCTCTCCTGACCAAACTATTGGGACTATATTTCCCAGATTGGGGCTACCCCCAATATTTTTGGGGTCAAAAATTCGAATCCAAATATTCAAGGTCAAAAATCAAGATCCCAAAGAAAGGTATGTTTAATTAGAGAACGTGCATTTTTGTGCCTGATTTCGTAACTCATAAAATTATCCGCAATTACTAATTATGCTATTTGAGTTCACCCCCTTAAACTATTAAATTTGAAATTTGAAAATTTGATTATTAGATCAAAAGAGTTATTCAGGGTGGTCCATTTTTTGAAGCATTATATATTGGGTAAAATTTAGTAAAAATTATTGATTACAAAATGACTCATATTTATAAACTTGTGACTTATACATGGAATTTAGTTTTTTTCTGCGAATGTTGTAATTATTTGCTTAAAATATATGTATTGAAAAGCATTTACTCGTATATATAAAAGCATTTATAAAAAGCAGTATATATAGTATTATATAAGTATTATATAAAAGCATTTACTAGCTTTCGCTTGCGTTTTGGCCCTCACTTTGTAAGTCCAAATATTTTCCTAATGATTCGATTAATCACCTTTTTTTAAAAAAATCATTTTAAAATAAAGGTATATTAATATATCAAATTTAAAACGCATTTTAATATTTTTGCTTATCAATCAAGCTGATATATTAAATACAATTCTGCATGAAGCTGATCCCCAATTTTTAAACCATTCAATGGATTTCTTTTCTCTGTAATTTATTATAATATACAAATGTAATTTGCACCACAAAATAAGTATTGAAGAGCTCAGTGGAAGAAGTAGGTAAGTGAGTTTGATTAGATAAGCTTAGAAGTTTATATACTGAGAAAAAATGTATGTTTAAAACCACCAGAATGTGATAAGCATTTTTTTGGCTCTATGAAGTGCTTATCACATTCTGGTGAATGCTTATCACATCAAAAATTTCAATAATTTTTACCAAAACATTTTGGTATTGATTTTGTCAAAATTAACGATAAAATATGGTTTTATAATTTGTGATAAAATTTGGAGTTTTATCATTATTAATTTTATACTTTAGGGAATTGGCAATAAAAACCATTTACTCGGTTAAATTTACTTTTCAGTATTTTATTTTTACCAAATATTTGGTAAAACTATATTTTTATAAAAACAGAATTTCTAGTTAACTGTTACCACATGAGAGGAAGTATTACCAAATGAGTGGTTTAAATACTGATAAATCAATCGAAAATAAACACGACAAGAACTGTTAAATGTTTTGATCGCATTTGTAAATTTTAACGACAATAACAAAATGCTGTTCTATTTCTTTATTAGATACATACGGAACTAACAATAATCATCCTAAAAGATAGGAAACAATTGCAATCACTCAATTTGTTGCATTCTTAAAAGTCAGATAACAAAGGTGATAATATATGCATATTTATCTTCAGATTTATCACATAACCTTTTCAAATTGTGAATCAGTTATGTTTATTTTTTTATTTACATAGTTGTTCTAGCTTTGTGTTTTCTTGAGGTATATTACGAAGAGGAAAACGTTTCCAGATATTGCATAAAAGGTTGCGATTTAGAGCAATGTTCGGGCATAGATTATCCCGTTAGTCTTAGAGAAACTTTTTACAAATCATTAAGAAGTAAATTGTCTACTAAAACTTATGATAATTCTGTTAATCTTAGGCAAGCTTTTCACAAATCATTAAGAAGTTAGTTATTCTCTAACATTCATAATAATCCTGTTAGTCCTAGAGAAGTTTTTTACGAATCATTAAAAAGTAAATTCTCTACTAAAACTCATGTCAATCCTGTTAGTCTTTGAGAAACTTTCAACAAATAAATAAACATTAAATTATCTTCTAAAAGCTATGAGGAACTAGAATTTAAAATAAGAAAGTCTCACGTGTCTTTCACCTTTAAAATTAGCCGATCGAAACAATGTCTAACATCGAAGTTTTTATCTTTGGCTCGTGCGGTACTAAATTATTTTTTTTTAAATTTTTCATTATCATACTTTTGAGTTGTATACCATTTTATTTATCATTTTGAAAATTAAATTTTCAGCCAAAAATATAAAATTTTGATATGTATTGTTGATTTAAAATAGAATTGATTCGGAATAAGGTGAAACTGAAATTAAGTATGTCAGCAATATTATGTACAGATAAAAAATAAAACATATTTTAGCGGAAGGAAAAGTGAAAGTGAAATTACATTAAGTACATTCGTCAGAAATATATTGCAACTCGCAACTCTTGGATTGATAATCATTCTTTGAGAAATAATTTTATGGAAGATAGCAGATTTCTTATCGCTCATCTGTTCTTTTACACATTTCATAATATTTTTTTTTATATTTTCATAAAACAGCCACAAGGCTTTTAAACCGTATGGTTATAAAACCCAGAAGAGAATCCTAGATTTGTAGTCCTCATCTTATATTTAGGATTTAAGCTTCTCAACTTTTGAAAACACATCATAAACCTCATACGACGCTACCTATTATACCAACTAAGTGGCCATGATTTTATATAAATTGTTTCTAAATAATACAATTATACATAAACAATACATAATACATGAATCCCTCTTTAATATAATTATTTTATCAAAGACAATGTGTATAAAACTCCTTTTGATCATACAGCAGCGTCTCACAGTGGACTGATATTAAAGATATGGTTCCCAGTAGATCACCAAAATCAAGCATCTCTGGCAGCTGTCAATGAGCGGGAGGGTGACCAATTTGATCGGCCTGCGAAGGATCAGATTACGTATGGTATCGGTTCTCGTAAACTGTTCGCCCATCAAGTGCTGCTCGACATCGAGTGCAGGTACCGAAATGGGGTATATATATATATATGTGGTGATAGGTTCGACGCTCATCGTAAAATCAAGTTTATTTCATATTGTTATCTGTTTGTCTTTAATCAATTGTGTTTTTACTTATTTTTGAAGTGAACTGAAATAAGAGTTCTGACGTCATCATATTAGAATTGTATAAATACCAGCACGCACATGACAGCCTGTCAGTATTTCTCTCATCACCTGCTGTGATGATGCTTCTTGTAAATCAAACCAACTTGTATATAAATGTAAATATGTTTAATAAAATATTAGTATCTCAAAGGAGCTATCTTCGCTTACCTCAATGGTGACCCGGATGTCTGACGATACAAGCAACTTTCATTTTTCATCATCGAATTAATAGGAAACTGCAACTATGGCGGAATCGTCTGCAGTAAAAATTCCCATCTTCAATANAAAAACTAAATTGCAAGTATAACATTTTTATTTATAATTAATATACTACAAAACACAAATAAGTGCTACAAAACACAGAAATAGAAATTCAATCTGTAGATTATATAAAAAGTCCTACACAAATTACAAAATTGAGTTATTTCAACAAAATAGAACAAAATTTAGTACAATGTCAGACACACAATATCAGAATTATACAATACTGCCTAACACAATACTACACCGTATCAAAATTTGCTGCCAATTGGCTAAATTTGAAGTAGCTAACTATATATATATATATATATATATTAGAAAAACAAGTATATAAGTATAAAAGAAAAACAAAGTGTTTCGGTGTTTGAACGTTAACTATCCAGAAGCAGTTAATGGGCACATTACATAGAAAATTTTTTGAAAACTCTTGATTCTGCTACTCCCCATAGCTAATCTGCAGAAGATCATCCTAGTCTATCTAGTTAAACCTTGTAAGATCATCCTAATTAATATACAGATTAGATAGGTTGTGTGCACATTAAGAGCCTTTATCCGTAACGTTTGCATAACAAATCTTAGAAATTCTTATAACATGATTGGTCGATTGTGAGTAATCGGCTGGTGATATAAGGCTGTTATTGAGTATCATATTTGCATTATTTAGTTTCAAGAAATGATTACTTCATTGCTTAAAAAATCTTTCTAAACCATGCAAAGGTTTGATAACTATAGACAGTAACTAATTTAAATAAAAAAAACCCAGCTGTTTCGTTTAAAAACAATTGCACATTTCATCTATATTTAACTGTTTTATTTAAAAACAATTGCACATTTTCTCCATATTTAACTGTTTTATTTAAAAACAATTATACATCTTCTCCATATTTAACTGCTTTATTTAAAAACAATTGTATATGTAGAAGATAAAAATAAGAATATTTGCTTGAGTTAACGGAGGAAGTAATCTAACTCAAACCATCTGTCTAATTCTTGTGATTGTAGAATTCAGATAAAAACAGCTATTTAGCATTTCTCCCTTTCTCACTTAGTAGAAAACCATACACGTAATCTGTCATGTTTGTTTTCTACACCGTTATTTTAAATTTATTTTTCCTCCCGGGATGTTTCCAAACGGAAAAAATTCCCCCAATCTGCACAACAGAGTACCCAATACGCTTTGTAAATTGCTCAGGGATGGACAATCTCGAAAATTTCCGAGATATATTTTACCAGGAAGTAAATCGTACTTCGTCCAATTCTGCTATAGTCGGCGTGCGTATTGCCAATTCTTTCTTCCCTTTCATTGCTCAAGAATTTTTCAAAGGACTTAAATTTGGGAGACTTATTATAGAAAATACTGCATTGATATCTCTGAGTGATACTGACACAGCTTTTGAAGGATTGGAAAAATATTTGAAAGTTCTCATAATAAAGAATTCTGTTCTGTTTTCAGATTTGAACTGGTATCAATTACGAAATTTGAGGGAACTGAAATTTATTATCTTGGAAAATATTGAATTGGAATTTGTTGATAGTGATATGAGTTCGATTGCTGCAGTCGGATTAGTGCAATTATCGATGGCGAATAATAGAATTTCGCACATAAGTGATAATTCATTTGCACCGTTTGTTCATCTTCAGGACTTATCTTTACACCATAATAATATATCAGAGTTGAAGAGAAGTATGTTTCCGAACCCAGGAAATAAACTGAGCCGACTTAATTTAGGGTAAGAAGGTAATTTAGCTCAAAAATTGTTTCATTGTTTTCAGTAACTATTGCTTTTATAAAAGTATTTCATCTTACGCTTTCTTCCTTAAATGAGCATACAAACATCTTTTATATGTTCAGCTGATGTTAAAAAGAAAGAAAACATTAATTGAACATGCAAGCAGGCAAAAATGTTATTGAAATATTATAATTTAAAAAAAAACCACCGTATTGTTAGCAATTTGAAATAATAATACTTTATAAGTTTGCTTCACTATTTCTCTCATTAAAAAAATTCTGTCCGTTATTATGCAAAGTATAATTAATAGGAACTTAAGATAGAAATTTTTAGAAATAGAATTTATTGTGTAATTTGTTTAAAAATCAAACAGAATATTTTTATATAAACTGATGTTCTTTCTATCAAAACATCTACGTCTCAAATCTTTCAAAACATAATCAACAGGCAAATATAATCACATCGAGGTAATTTAAAGTTTATTCTGCTATTATGAGTTTACTCTTATTAGTTATATCTTTTATTAAAAATATTCTATGTCTAATATTATGCAAAACATTATTAGTTATTAAAGATCTAAAAAGAATTGCAGCAAAACACGACAGATGACAGAACAACAATTTATGGTATTATTAGTTTGTGATGCAAACTATTATAAGAATATTTTATACTAAATTCCAAAAAGAATTCATAAACAACAAATCGTCGTGTTTTTAGTTAGTTGTTCAAACTAAACTAGCCTGTCATAAAAATGTTTTTATGCCAATATATAAAAAAGAATTGACAAGCACTTTATCATGTTGTTAGTAAGCATTTCAAAATAAACTTGTTCCTATTAGAATATTTTTATACTAAAATCTAAAAAGAATCCATAAACAACAATTCATTGTGCTATCAGTTATTAATTTAAAATAAACTATACGTTAAGAACATTTTTATGCTAAAATCTGAAAGAAATTGATAAATAATAAACAAAAATTTATCGTGTTGTTACTGAGAAATTCAAAATCGATTGTAAAAGTATTTTTATACTAAAATCTGAAATGAACTGATAAACAACATTTTTTCAGGTTTTCAGTTTATATTTCAAAATAAATTTGCCATAATAAGAATATTTTTATTCTAGCTATTTTTCTATTTAAAGTATTTGGTGCAGGAAAGTTACTGTTCTTTTTATCAACAATTCTACGTCTTAACTTTTTAAAACATTATTAAGAAGTAATGAAAAAAATTATTCACAATTGTTAGCCATATAAATTTAATCTCACATAATGAGTTTATTGTTATAAGCTATCTCTTTTATTAATATTATTTACCGTCTTAAAATTCGTTACTTTATTTATTTATTTATTTTTTGTTTTATGAAACTATTCTAACTCCTTAAGTAGGATGAAAGGTTGGTTGGTACTTTATTTACATCGCGCTGTAGCTGCCCAATGGGCTATTGTCGGTGGTTTGGGAAACATCCCTGAGGATGATCCGAAGACATGCCATCGCAATTTTGATCCTCTGCAGAAGGGAAGGCTCCCCTGCTTTGGTAACCCGACGACTTGCGAGTGATTTCGAGCACTTTAAGGCTAGAACAATTTAACCAGGACCGATACCGCGCAGGCTGATCAAAGTGGTCACCCACCCGCTTACTAATCGCAGCTAGCGATGCTTGACTTAGGTGTTCTACTGGGAATCGTGGCTTTACGATCAGCCCACTGCGGGACATTGTTAAAGATGAAAAAAAAGAGAATTAAAAGTAAAATTTTTTTCTCTTAATTCCAAATCAACGAAATTGAGAGTTCTTAAAACTTTTAAACCCACTTGCATAATTTATTTATAAAAAAGATATCGTTTTTAAATTATTAAATAAAAATTTCTCATTTTCATTAATAAATATCTTTTGAAATTTTATTCTGTTAATATATTTCTAGCCACAATAAAATTTCATCTCTGCCCTCTGATTTTTTCACAAACATGCCAAGTCTGACTTTTATTATATTGTCTCATAATGAACTTCTAACTCTTGATCAGGCAGTGTTTGCTACCATCTGGAAGAGCTTGACAACAGTTTTATTATCAGGTATCATTACTGTATCATTTTTATTATTTCTTTTTTGTGCCTGTAACGATGGAATCCTGTAATGCCAAGTTTTTACTTATTCGAATGTTCAAGTTTATGAACATTTTCCTGGGTATTATTGAGTAGAACACCTGTTTTTATAGAGATAACACAGTGATTTCTAAAAACTTTCTTACCTTTAATTTTTATGAGAATAAGTTTTTAGATTCGGGCAATTTCGTCATGGATTTATAGTGAAATTAAAAGTTACATTAAGAAGAATATAAAATTTCCTTTACCTTAGCTTATGAAGGAGAACCATATTTTTCGTATAATAGCTTTGAAATTTACGAACATGAATTCAACGAAGAAAAAGGTTTATTTAGTTACAAAAGTGTAATTTTATATACACTGCATAAGTTTTTGCAAGTGAGAATGCCCATAGAATGATAGATATACCGAAGTGTACAATAAATTATTAGTTTCAGAATCTTATCTTATTGAAATTGAAGAAAAATTACTTCAATAACTTTTTTCAAAACCCGTGTCACAAGTATAAGTGATAGGACAATACCTTTAAGAATATCGTTCTTAAGAGAAGATTTTTCAAAATTTATTTAAAAAAAACTTATTGTAAATTTGAAATCAACTTTAAAATGCATAGAAACATCAGGAATATGGTTAGATCTTTTATCACTTGAAAAAAATAAGTTTCAAAACTGTGCAGTTAGCGAAAAAAAAGAAAAAAAAGGGATCATTCCTATACTTTTTAATGGTTGGTCTGATTTTCCTCCTGTAAAATGCTATAACAATATCTCAAAGAAATTTCTTAAATTATATGCATCATATAATTTTAACCGTAATAGAATATGCTAATTTTGTCCAAAAAAAACCTTTTTTTCAGAAGAGAAACAGTTTATCAAATTTGAATTTATTTCCCGAGAAATAGAAAGAGGGCTAACAAAGTTATGAAAAAATGACTTTTATAGTTTAACCTATGTAACGGTAAAAGTTTTGTTACTCCAATAAGGTGATTAATTTGTCACATTTCTCTTCATATCATTTAATTAATTAATTTTATTATAATAATTCCCTCACACAAAGCTATATAGCCTGTCGTCCAAAGACAAAAATGTTATATAAAGTGGAGTTTATATAAATAAAAATAATTTGTATTAATTAATTTGTTACAGATGAAAAAAATTTTAAAATTGTAAAGTATACAAGTTTTTACATATTCTGAAATTTCAGATTCTTCTAAACCTAAATCTAATCATTTGATTAATATAAAAGGGCTCAAAAATTTATTTAAAAAACTAATAATTTAATGTTTATAAACTGGAACTCCCTTTTGTGATTATATCGCCAAAATTTTCAAGGTATCAAACTCTACGTCATTCGAATTAGCGTATAATTGAAAAATTTAATCCTTTATTTAATAATTTATGTGTGAAATAACGAAACACCCTTGTTTAAGAGAATTTTTATACATGAAGACTGGTAGATAGTCATCGTTATTTGACAATTTTTTTCTTAAATTATGTTATTTAGTTTTAAAATATTCTTCTAATCGTCTTCCTTGCTTTTGCGTAAAAAAGTAACAAGATTCATTAAGACATTTTGTCCTTTGAAAATTTTTACAGGATTCCGTTTCACGAATCTACGTAGATTAGGTAAAATTATTCAAAAGCAGAGCAATTGTAATTAATTAATTTTTACTACAAAATCCTAGTTAATTCGCGTTCAGTAGTTTTAATGTTGGCAATTAAATGCTAAAAAAATATTGAAGAAAGCTGTGCATAATGTTTGAATGCATCTATCAAAGCAAAGTTCTTTTTTTCTACGTAACTGTCAATTATAACTCTGTAACAAAAAAAAATAATCTAATTTCAGTTTTTTAATTCTTCAATTATGAATATGATATAAAAGTGTTTTAATATTTAGGATACATAAATTAACAGGATTATGTAAGCAATCGCATAATTATATATTTATGCTTATAAATGAGGTCAAAAATAAATCCATTTCTGTTGTAACGGAATTTAACTACGTAACTACAGTAGAAAAATATCTTTCATGAGAGTGCAAAAATGGATAGGGCTTTCTTTCCATAAAAAAAGTACTATTATATTTAGTACAATATTCAGTTAGTTGTAAATATGTTTAAAAATTTGAAGGGTAAATCAAATGTTGATATTGCTTTAAAATTAACCATTGAAAGTGCAGTGCTCCAAAAAAAAAATTGAAACTGAATAACTTTTAGTCTAATGATCAGATTTTCACGGTTTGGGAGTCATTTTCAATGGCTCAAGGGGTTGACAAAATCATATGCAAAAATGTACTTTCTCTGAATGAATATACCTTTTTTCTGACGAATTCGGATTTTTGACCCCTATAATATTGGGGGTGGCGGTGATCTGGGGAACAGGGTCCCAATAGTTTCGTCAAGAGAGCGATTTAAAGTTTAGAACCTCTAATGTTAATTTTATTTTATGCGTGTTTCACCATATTTCGAAAAATTTTTAAGCGAATTAAAAAAAATTTGCAAACAGTTATAAAATTCCTTTATTCAAAGATATTTCCAAGCAAAAAATAAATACTAGTAAATATTTAGTATTTTTAATTATTTTATGGAATGATCGTAAAAAAATATTGAATTGTAAGGTGTACAATGTTTCACGGTATCTAATTTCACATGACAAAATTGGAGTGAAATTGGTCGAATAGTTCCTGAGAAATCGATTTTTAAAAGTACGAATTTTTTAAAATTCGATTTTTCAAGAACTATCAACCAGTTTCACTCAAATTTTGGATTGATGTCTTGATCAAATTATTGGGACCATATTTTCCTGAACGCAGCTACCCCCAATATTTTGGGAGTCCGAAATCATCGAAAAAACATTCAATGTTTCTTCAGAGAAAGTACGTTTTTACATCTAATTTCGTAATCTAAAATATCGTCTTCGCTAATTAATTAGCATATTTGTGCCCCCCCCCCTCGAACCACTAAGAATGAGTCCAAGAACGTGACGATCTGATCATTAGATCAAAAGTTATTCAGGGTGGTCTGTTTTTTGTCTTTCTTTGGCGAACTTTACAATGCAAGGAGCACTTATGATAACGTCTTTCCAGCTTTCACATAGTGTTTGGAAACTTATTCATCTTAAGAGTCATGGTCATTATTAACAAAGATCACGAATAAATCAAATTATAATTTTTTTTCTTTTAAAAATAATTAACCAAGAAAAATTAAGCAATTATTTTTTTTTCTTAAAATCATATTAAGCATCAGTTTCAAGATTTAGTTTCACTTCTTGTTTCATGTTCAGCCGTTTCAGGTTTCATTCACGCTTAAAGCAAATTAAAATATCAGGAAGTATTATATTATGTTGTTTTATATAGATGTAATACATTTAAAACAACAAATACAAAAAAAAATCGATATCGCTCTTCATTTTATGCAATAAAATCTGTGAAGAAATAATTATTCTGTCCATTTCATCTTTTTTAATAATCTGACTGATGCGGAAGCAACCGTGTTTAATTTCTGTCTCTGAAAACAAATTTCATTCAAGGAAAAAAATATTCAAGCTTTTTTTTTAATTCGTACTATTGAAATGAATAAAAAAGGGGAAAAATTTTGCCCTAATACTTTACTGATTTACAGAATGAAAATCTGACTAAAAAGTAATAAATTGTCAGGATGATCCGTTTTTTTTCCGAACTGGACATATCTGTATCGTATCAATGTTGAACAATAAAAGCTTATATTGCGAAAGCTTTTCACCTTTCACAATTCTCATTCATGAGAAGAGTTTGAATTTTTTGATGCTAACAAAATTTCTACTTGTTTGAATTCCCTAAAATAGTTGAAAGGCAAATACAGCTTTATTTCGTGAAACTATGAAGTTTAGGAATACTTCTTATCGAAATCGTTACAGTAAAAACTAATTTTTCACAATACTGAAACTCCAAGGATCAGTGAAAACAATAATAGTGTAACAATTATTTGATAATATAGTAATGCATGATATTTTTACGAATTTCAAATCAGCTATAAAATGTCTCGAAACATCAAGAAACTGGTTAAAATATTTTATTCAATTGATAACAAGAGAAGATTTGACAATCGACCAAACCACCCAGCCGTACCTGTCCCTAGACTCATTTATCAGAGCTCTTTCTTCTAATGGTGTTAACAGGTAGGAAGGCCAGGTCACTTAGAAACGTGGTATGCTTCAAGTCAAAATAACGTGTGGATAGACCACGTAAACAGCGCCTGGACAGTTACTTTTTTCCTTTAAACTTACACCAGCCAACTTACAAGAGGACTTTCAGCCACGGCAGATTTAGCGTTTATTCTGCTACCAGGATCGAACTCTTGACCAACAGATCTCCACTGGCGCTGTCACGCGCCACCGTCTGAGACACCGGACTAATAAGTTGAACATAAAAATATTTTTCTAACAAACACAAACTTGAGCTTTTTAATTTTTAAAAAACAGGCCGTTTTGGATCAGGGGATAGAGCATTCGCTTTCTAATGAAGTGAACCGGGTTCGATGCGCTGATGGCTGTCAGTTTTGAATTCCGCACCCGGCTCGCATCAACCACAGTGCTGACGTAAAATATCCCCAATGGTTTACCGATCATGGGTTAGAGTCCCCTTGCCGTCAGGGTAAGCGTGGGTGGTTTTCCTCTCCATGTAGTGCAAATGCGGGTTAAATCCATCAAAAAGTCCTCCAGGATGGCAAATTTCCCCCAATACTTGATCCAAGAGTTCCCTTGTCTTCTGAATTGTGTTCAAAATTGCAAGGCTGTGGAGTTGAACATTAGTAGTCGTAAGCCCTATATTGGGTCGGTTGTTCAATGACGGTTAAAAAATATAAAAAGTTTTTAAATACCTACTAAAATCCAAATTAGTATTAAATGATTTTTTTATAACTTGCAACAAAATTATGAGAGATCACAAAAGAAATTTTTTTTAATATATAATAAGTTTATTTTAATTTTATAATATTGAATTATAATAGCATTAACTTCATTACTACTATTTTTTATCGCACTCTGTAGAAAATCCATTGCGATGCGACTGCAGATTAAAATGGTTACTAAAGCAAAAGTTCCCCATGTTTACTTATGGAACATGTGCTGGGCCACCAAAGTTGCGAGGAAAGGATTTAGCAAAATTGGAAGATTTGGATCTATGGTGCTTCTAGAAAAATGGAGAAAAATGTAGAATACTTAATTTTAAACTCTAATACTGCAATTTAAAGGTATAGTTTTAATGAAAATAAAGACATTAAAACCATTGTTTTTACTTTTCTTATGCATTGCTTCTATTGTAAAAACTTAATATTAGTAAAAAATATATCTTTCTATGTATAAAATTCTTATAATGGCGTCGCAGTTTTCTATTGTTGTTAATACAGAAATCACATGGTAGGATCCAGTTTTCCCCCCATTAGTTTTCATATTGGGTTGGTTATCATCAGCAAAAATTTCTATAAAAGTTATTGTTTAAGTTATTTTGTTGTTGTGCCGACCGGCCTGTGTAGGGGTTAAGGAACTGCCCTTGCATTAGAAAGGTTCTGGGTTCGAATCCCGGGCAAGGCATGGATGTTCTTTCCTTCTCTGTACTGTCTGTCCTTACTGTGGAAGCAACGTTGGCCCACCTAATATGGTGCTCCTGAAAGAGTGACCAACATATCTGCCCTTCAGGTGCCTGTATGACCTAGGTTATTATCCAGGTGGGCATTGGGGAAAATTTTTTTGTTGTTGTTGCTTATCCTCTTCTGACCTGACGAAGTCCGACCAGTCCTATGAACCCGTTGACCTGAATGAAATCTAAGACCGAAAGAGGAGCGAAGTAGATGTCTCCCCAGAGAAGACCAAGACAGCTCAGGATATGATCGGTGGAAGTCCAGTGTGGATGGCATTTAGGGCAAAGGGGGTAGGTTTTAGTTCCTTCGGAAAATAGTAAACCTTTTAGATGACCGGTAGCTAGGCGGGAGAGGGAACCAGTTGCTTAAATTACAAAAGTTATTGTTAATAAAAGTTATTCTTTAAGTTATACAAGTTATTGTTAATAAATGTTATTCTTTAAGTTATAAAAGTTATTGTTAATAAAAGCTATTGTTTTCCCTATAAGTATTTTCATTTCTCTGATTTAAAGGTTAAAATTGTCTGTATTGTTATTATTACGTTTTTGCGTGATTTTGTTTGATTTCTGAATTTAGAGTTTAGGAGGATTGTTTTATAAGAATGATGTAATTCTACGTTACATTTTAAGATAAGGTCATTTAAATCTGTGTCTAATCTTATTAACCGTTATACAATTATTATTTTTTGGTGCAAATTACATAAATATACTATTATGAGTTACGATTAAATGGATTCGTAAAATGATTTAGAACTTAACTTTCAACTACATGCACAAAGTTATGAATGCAAAAATGGTATTTAAAATACAACCGGCCCTTTGGTAAGCAAAAATATTAAATTGCAGTTGTGAACTCACCAAATTTGTTATAAGAATATATACTACTTTTATATTAAAGTATTATTTAAAAAATGATTAAATAGAAAAATAATTTATGTTCACTTATAGATCTTAATAGGATCACAAGGGAAATATTTTGATTGGGGAAATAGGTATTCACAAGTCTTCTTTTAAGTACATACTAGGAGGATTCGCCCGTTGCTCGCTATCGCTCGCCAACCCCCGGAACTGCTTTCGCAGTTCATTTCGAATTGCTTCGCAATCCGATGCTCTCTTTGCTCGCTCATTGGATACGTTCTTAACGTCTAGCTTTTGTATACTTTTTTGAACACTGAAGTTCCGAAAACTTTTCACTGTAGAAAATTCTAAACCTGTGCATTTCAATATTAATTTGAAATTGAAAACAGTTCGCGTATTTTTCTTAATCACACCATTCTAAATTTCAGTTGTTGAGAAAAGTAACTGTTGTAAGTTTCGTTTTAAAGTCTTTCCCACCAGAGGGCTAAAACCATGTGTTGTTAAACAATATGAAATAGTACTGAACGCCGGATGTAAAGNCAGCATCTGTTGATGCGTTAGCGGAGTAGCACAGTATTGAGTGAAAGTGTTAACTCACATAAAGAAACTTGAAGATTTAAACATTTCTTTATTTCATACAGTACCATCTCGATACAGCGTACAACTGAAGATATTTAAACATAAATATATCTTAACAAAAATGTTGGTACGTCACCGGAAACAACAACACAGTGACGTGACATAGTGAAGAGACAAGACAGGAAGTCGACAAGAACACATGCTTACAACAATGCATGCTTTATATACAGATTCCATAATCATATGCACGGATGACGTCACTTACGTTATCTGAAAAGAAAATGTCTGTTGCCACCACACGACCGAAACTTAATTCTGTTAACTTAATGTATTCAGAGGAGTAACAAACCACTCCAACAATGCTCACTGCGTGCTCTTGCGCGCCGAAGCCTAACAATTAAAACGTATTAGCGTTTTATATAATGTAGATTAGCCATATGATGCTCACTACGTGCTCTTGCGCGCCGAAGCCTATCAATTAAAAATGAAAACTGTTGCCTACGCGAGAAAGGAAATATCATCGGTTTTATTGATACATACGTATTAGTGTTTTATATAATAAGATAGATATTTTTAGTTGAATAATTTCAACTGTTTTATGCCAAAAAAAAAAACAGCTATTATTGCGAAACAATCATCGGGGTTGGTGAGGGTCAGCGGACAAGCGCTTAGCCCCCTTGTCCAAATATAAAAACAGAATATAAGAATAGCATTGTTAATAAATTTAAATTATTTATGATTTATGTGATTTGTTGGAAGTGTTGATTTTCATTAATTTACTTTTTCAGATTTTATTTTCATTAAATGTTTGAAACATCTGTTTTTAAAATTGAAAAAAAAAATATAAAAGAAATAAAAAATTTATTTTTGGATTGAATAATGAGTTTTTGTAGTTTCTTGAAGTTTCTCTAATAAAATGTTTAAAAAGCTAAAAAAAACATCTTGAATTTACAAAGCGTAATTTTGCAAACTAATTTGTTGTAAACTAGCTGAATAGTTGCTTTCGTACAAGGTAAGAAAAGAAAGTCAATGATCAATAATAAATTAATAAAAAAGTAAAAAATTATCTACATTGCGCAATCATGCAAAAAACCGAAATCCCTATATCTAAGTTACCAATATCTAAGTTAGTTAATATATAATTCCAACTTCTCATAATTATTATCTTTTCTCATCATTGCAGTTTACTTTAAGTTATTAGATTAACCTGTATACCACTTTAGAATTTGAACTCATGAAAATAAAGATTAACTATATTTAGTATTATTCGGTACATATTTTAATTCATTTTTGATAACGGCCAGGATTTGGCAGTCATGATTTTCCACAATCTCGCAAGTTTCCCCACAAATTTGCATTTTACCGAATAACTACATTTTTTTTGTTTTAATTACCAATCAATTTCAATCTATTTTTTGTTGTTGAAATTTTACAGTATTTATTGATTTACTGAAACATGTTCTAAAAATAATTTTAAAAAATAGACACGTTATTTTAAACAGTTAACTAACTACTAATTCCGTATTGCCTATACACATTCTTTTTGCCTGAGCTTGTCTGAAGAAGGTTGAATTTGATTGTAAGCCAAATCAAAATTCCTTATTATCCCACCAAAAATCTTTGATGGTTTATGTTGGCTTCAGGGTGTCTCATGATGGTCAAACATCATTTGATGGTCACCACCATCCAACATTTTCCATTATGTGTTCATGGTTTTTGATATTCCAACGGACTTTCATCATTCCATGATGGGAAATGCTACTTTAATACTATCATCAAGAGAAGTTTGACTCTCATGGATCAACAATCCATGACGATCCGTGATGGTTCATGATGGTTCCAACTATATATTTTCATGATGGTTAAATAGGAATTCTTGTTGGTTCTCAGGAATATACCATAAAAACAATTTGAGTTTTTTTATGTTGGACCATTATAAATCAGTCCGAATTCCTACATTGAGGTAATGGTTACTTATGTTGGTTACTATCAAAAAATATAATTGCTCTTGATGGAATTATTGATGATTACTATCAATATTACGCTGGTCCATCAATGGAAAACCATCAAAAATTTTGACTTGGGACCGTTATTATATAAGCTTGCTCACTGCCGAAATTTAAGCTTACGGAACATCTCAACTTTAGTGATTCAGAGAGTGCTACCAACCTCACAAAAAATAAACTAATCCTTTACATTGCAAAACGTATTGAAATTTGACATTAAGAAACGTGGTTTAGTTGCCTTGCCAACAAAAGAACAAGAGAAATTATGTTTTGGAATTTAACTTAATTGATATTTTAATGTTATGAAGAAAAGCGCTCTTTTTACTTTAAGCTTAGAATGTCTTCTTGTGGAGAAATATCTGCAATTTCTTTTCTACGTACGATATGCTAGACCCTATTAAGATTGAGCATCATTTTAAAAGCTTTGAAAAGAAGCAGCTTTGTATTTCAGCAGCTTTAAGTGTACAGTCCGCAAAAAAAAAAACGAATCACCCTGAATAACTTTCGTTCTAATGATCGGATTTTCACGAACTAAGTGTCAATCTTAATGGTTCCTGGGGGTGACCTCAANGAAAAGCGTTCCTTTCACTTTAAGCTTAGAATGTCTTCTTGTGGAGAAATATCTGCAATTTCTTTATTACGTACGATATGCTAGACCCTATTAAGATTAAGCATCATTTTAGAAGCTTTGAAAAGAAGCAGCTTTGTATTTCAGCAGCTTTAAGTGTACATTTGAAATTACTCAATACAATGAAAAATTATTTTTAACTAAAATAAAATTTGTTTAACTCTATTACTTTGAATGTTTTTATTTAGTTTATTTGTATAATGATGGAGTAGCGATGCATAAGTGATTAATAAGAACATCCGTAACGTATGAAAATATTAATAGTTTAGGTTTTTAAGTCTTTTAAGACTTTTTGAAACTAAATTAAAACTCACTAATAATTTTTAAACGTATTAAATCATATTTTATATTTTAAAAGAAACATCTCATTTTATAAATCTGCTTTCTTTAGAAATAACTAGAACTGCTGACAAAGCGTAGCAAACAGTTTGAATACTGTTTACCTACCATTTACATGTTACAGAAGCAACATTGTTTTTGTGATAGTTCATTCGGACGCACGGTGGTTGAGTGGTGGTGCTTCCCAGGACCTATGCCACAGGTCCTGGGCTCGATCCTTGGGCCGAGCAAGGTTGACTCAGCCTTTCATCCCTTCAGTGGATCGATAAATGAGTGCCTAGCATGCTTGGGAACTAAACACTGGGGGTTCAGCGCTCGGCTGACCACCTGACCGAAACATCTGCTCCTGCACCCCAGAGCCCATTGTCAAGAAAATTGAGAAGGGCACAGTACTCCTCTGCCCTCTAGGAGCTGTCATGCCACTGAGTTTAGTTTAGTTTTTAGATAGTTCATTCGGATAAAATAATACAGCATTATATCAAACAAATAAGAGACTAATCTAGTTCATCCGTTCCCCGATATAATGAAGCAAAATAAATAATTGTTTCGAAACATGCAATTGATTTCTAATGAAACTCGTTTTTGATCAAACAGAGCTGAGAGCTAGCAAACGCAACTAATGTTACCTTATAAATAAATAAACAAAAATAGTCACACAGTTTAGTTTTTAACAATACCAGTGCTCAACCTGTCCAAATTTATTTTTCTTTAATTTTTAGTTTTAATTAAAAGTTTTGAGCGACTTTTAAAATCGGGATCTAAAAATCTGCCTATGCTGCATAAATTGCTCGATGTTGCCACTAATGGCTCCGGAGTTATAGAAGTTACCCACGCTTCCACAAACCCTTTCTTAAACTTTTAAAGATAAATAAACTTTGGATTTGTATTCAAATATTTGCGCTTTTGTGATAAAAACAATTCTTTCACTAATAGTACTTTGAAACGAACTTTTTAAAAATCATTTTAAAGTAATCGGATAAAAAAAAATCAATATTTATACCCGATAAGGATTCAAGTAATTGGAATCAAACCATCTGTTTCATGCAAAAGTTCTTACACAGATAAAAACATTAGAGATATTTTTTCTTGTTACACTCCAATTGATCTCGTACCCTTCAAAATTACGAATCAGATATGTTTGTTTTATACATTTTCATTGCAGCTCTATATTTTTTTGCGGAATGTTTCCAAGTGGAAAAGGTTTCGCCTTCCTGTACAACATTAACGTCTTATGAAACATCAATACGATGCACCGACATGAACAACTCTGATATTTTAAGACAATTATTTACCAGCGAAGTAAATCGCATTGAACAATCCATTACCTATGCCGTAGAAATAATAGATTCTAACTTTTTATACATTCCCCACGATTTTTTCAAGAAATACAATGTCCGGAGATTGTCATTAGTTCACGTGTCTTTAATTTCTCTCAGCGACACGGACACAGCTTTCGAAGGGCTGGAGAAAAGTTTGAATTTCTTGCATATGCAGGATGGAATCCTGTTCAGGGACTTGGAATGGTACCAACTACGGAATTTATCGGAACTGAAAGATCTTTCATTAATCAATATTGGATTAGAGTATATTGACAATGATATCAGTTTCATTTCGAACTTGAATTTAACGGAAATATCACTGCTGAAAAACAAAATTTCGTTTATAAGCGATCGAGCATTTGCGCCATTTGTCAATCTTCAGGCGTTATCTTTAGGGCACAACATGATATCTGAGCTAAAAAGAAGCATGCTGCCAAATCCAGGAAAACATTTGAAAAAATTTGACTTAAGGTAAGTTTAGCCTAAAATAAATCCTTCTTTCGAAAAACATCGTTAATTTTCTAATGCATTTTTTCAGATGTTTTGCTTTAATTAGAATTGAGAAATTATTAGAATTGGGAAAAACCTATTAAGTGAAATTTTGAAAAGTTTAATTTTTCAGGTTTGAGAAAGATTATGGTCAGTTGTAAAAAGAGGACATTAATTCATTTTTCTAATTTTGCGTATTCTAATTATTTTTCTAGTGTATGAAAGGTAATAGTCGGTTGAAAGAATAGAGCATGGATTTCTTTCTCTTCCTATTCTGATTATTCTAATTATTCAAGTTTAAAAGGATATTATGGTTGGTTGGAAGAACCGGAAATTAAATAATTTTTCCAATTATGTGCATTATATATATTCAAATTTAAGAAAGGTAATAGTCGGTTGAAAGAACAAATCATCGATTTCTTTCTCTTCCTATTCTGACTATTCTAATTATTCAAGTTTAAAAGGATATTATGGTTGGTTGGAAGATCCGGAAATTAATTAATTTTTCCAATTACGTGCATTATATATATTCAGATTTAAGAAAGGTTATGATCGGTTGAAAGATCAAAGCATTGATTTCTTTTTCTTCCTATTCTGATTATTCTAATTATTCAAATTTAAGAGGATGTTATGGTTAGTGGGAAGAACAGAAAATTAACTAATTTTTCCAATTATGTGCATTCCATATTTTCAGATTTAAGGAAGGTTATGATCGGTTAGAAGAACAGAACATTAATTCTTTTTTCTTCGTATTTTGATACTTTAGAAAAATCACTTGACATATTCATTCTATAAGACCTGAAGTTAAAGAGTAGGTCAGCTTTATAATGGCATCTGGTGTTAAAACTTGCTTTTAAATTTAAAATAAATTACAAAAATTCTAGAATAAGAATCTATAAACTATAAATTGTTTTGGTATGTCATATTTGATTAACATTCAAAATTATGAATTATGAAATATTTTTATAGCATACTAATTGCAAAATATTTTGCAATAAAAAAACAAGTATTCTTTTAACATCTTTGAACTATATTTTAATAAAATAAGGTGCATCATGGCACTTTTTGGGTGATATATTATTTTTTTTGTAACATTTTGCTACTGTCACATCGGGCCTGGATAGGCTGGGTGGCAAGGCGCTAGACCTTGCCTCCCGAATCCAGTCTGCCGAAGACTTCCCGTGTATTGAATGGTAACTGGTGCACGTTAAATCTGTCTGGTTCCGAAGTCCTCCATGCTCCCATAGCAAATTATACCTCTGGGGGTACTGAATTGGGGATTGATAGCTTTCTGATTTAGGCCAAAATTACAATCTGTGGATGAATGGATATATGAATAGGACCGCCCTATAGACAGGTGTGACATATGGGTCTGGCAGAAGCCAAATTCTTGGTCATAGATAGCGCCACTGGAAAACAAGAACAATCGCACCCCTTGCCTTAATGGCTGATGACAACAACAACTGGCGCAGCAGCTTAAATATTTAGGATTGAAACCGGTGTAAGACAAGGCTGTGTTCTGTCTGGTCTGTTGTTTATTATTGCTATAGACTGGAGTATGAAGAAGCCCACCAAGAATAAAATCACAGGAATTCGGTGGAATTTTACACATCTTTTAGAGGACCTCAATTATGCAGAAAATATTGTTCTGTTGTCATCCAGATTCGAAGATATGGAACGGAAAACAGAACTTATGACAGAAACTGCAGAAATCGTAAGATTAAAGATAAATACTGAAAAAGCAAATGAAATTAAACAGTAATATTGTAACTAAGCACAACGGGCAAAACAGTGATATCGAAGATACTGATGCTTTTAGTTTTCTTGGTTCAATAGTGTCTATCACAGAAGGAACTGACGAAGATGTTTCACTCTCATCCAGACTGATTAAAGAGACTGAGACTTTCGAACATTAATTAGAATCTGCAGCTCTTCAGCGCTAACAACCAAATTGAAACTACTCATCTTCATTTCAACAGTTAAAGCCGTCCTACTTTATGAGTACGAATATTGGAAACTTTCTAAATCACTCTCCGAACTCCTTTCAAACTTTAGTTCTACGCAGGAATTTGTAATTTTTCTGCCTTACGTAATTTTAAATAAGCAACTATACCGAGGAGCCAAAGCAAGACCTATTACTGTGGAAATCAAACATCGAAGATGGGGGTGGAATGGGACATATTTAGAAAGCTAGTTAAGGAAAAAAAAACAGATTCAGAACGATGAAAGGCTTAATGGCTTCCTATATTCTGAAAATTGACTCCTTGAATATCAACTGCTTTTTCTTACCATTCTATCTAATAAGAGGAATTGTTATAATTAAAGGCAATTATTATAATAAAGAAAATTATTATTACTAAGTAAAATTATTATAATTAAGTAAATTATAATAATTAAGGGGAATTATTATTAAAGTGAATTATTATTATTAAAGGGAATTATTATATTTTCCCATTAGTTTCACTAATGAAGGAAAAACTAAACAAAACTATAAAATTTAAAAAAATTTAGAAAAATGTTAAATTTTATTTCGTAAGATCGATATGAGTAATCTCTTTTAAAATTTGTATTTCGTTTAAGTATTAAATTATGTTATTATGTTTCAAATTATGTTTCAAATATTAAATTAGGTGAAAATTCGTAAAAGAAAAATATATATTTCAGTCATTATGAAATAAAGTAATAAAATAGTTCATAATTATTAAGAAGCATTTTTTTGCATGACTGTTTGTATTGAAAACAAAAATCTGTTGGCACTAATTAAATAGTATAATCCAGATCTACCTTATGAACCAGTAAAATTGACACATTATTCGTGAAAATCTGATCATTAAAACAAAAGTTTTCCAGTATGGATACCTTTTTTTGAAATACTACGAATAAAAAAATATTTCTATTAATTATCCATGTTTGTTGAATTGAGCAAAAAATTATAATAGTGCGTAAAAAAATATTTTGTTTTAATTTTGCAATACTTTAATTCTATGGAGAATAATCCAAATAATACTACGGAAATTTTAGAATTTTGAAAAATGCATTTATGGTAAATAATATCAAAATTTCAAATTGACTTTTTCTACTTGTTTCCGTTTTTTACTGTATTGGACCCTAAAGACTAATCTATATTGAAAAAACTCGGTCACATGCATCGTATATCCTTGCATGTACCTCTTACTAAATTTTGTAATTATAATCTAACTAGAATGTAGTTTAAGGGTTAAAATAGAATCTAACTTACACGAGGATTCCCCGCAATTCTTATGATTTTTTTTAAAAATAGAGCAGTTATTTTTGGTAATCCGGCTCTTAAGAGATCTAAGTCGGAGTTTAAACAAGCATTTAGGGGAATTTCGGGAAGCCTCGCCCACTTAAGGAGTATTGCTTATATTTCTGTATAATATTGAGTAATAATCAATATTTTTGTATTTTTCTATTGTTTTATCATCCAATTAAATAATTCAAAAAGAATAAACCAAAAAAAGAATAGTTTAACTTAAAAAAATAGAAATTTAAAACATTTGACTACTGCATTCAACATAGTTTCAAAACTATTGTTTACCATGTTACCAGATGCATAAATACTTGAAACTTTGAAAATAATTTTTTTTTAATATAACAATTAATGTCTGATGGCCCATTGACTTGAAAAAATATTCTATACATATGAAATTGACAGTGGGCGTGGGTACCCGACTCTCCCCTACTTATTTGTCTTTACGATTCTAATAATAACTATTTCTGCATTTTGATGATTCGTTGAATTATAGTGCTTAAATAAATCACCCAAACCGATTTATCTTTGCCAATTTTGTTCGAAATTCATTCCAAAACTAACTCTCAAAAGCCTCGAAAGTGAGAAAAAAAATTGAAAATTTAACTTTTTTTATTTTCAAAAATAACAGCACAATTGATAATAAGAATTTAGTTCTTTTTTCTTACTCGGTAAGTTAGACAAAGGTTGTAAAATGTCTTACTGGTAGGGTCCTTTGCAAAATAATTATTTCTTTACCGAAAATCTTATTTCTTTATTGAAAAAAACAACTAAATGTCATAAAAATGTTGTAAGTCAAATATCAAGTAGCAAATAACAAAGTATATCTAAAAAAAACACCTTCTGTTGTGACTTTTTTGAAGCAGCTTATATCTTAAGCTGTCAATAAGAAAATGATTTTCCTTCGCTCATTCAAATGAAACTAATAGACTATTTGAATGATTGAGAGCCTAATATTAAGCCATCTGCTCAATAGATCAATCATTTCTTATAATCAAATATAAATAACCATTTTCATCACACGATTCAAAAACTTTCACCAAGAAGCGATTATGTTTGTTCCCTACTTCGTCATCTTAACATTATATTCCTTTTTGAAATGTTCGAAAACGGAACAAATTCTTCCTAGGTGCAAAACTCTAGGATATTTTACTCCAACCGTTCAATGTTCTAACCTCGAAAACCCCAATTCTCTTAGAGAAACTTTGAATCATTACATGAACCGCACGGGATCTTCTACAGTTCGTAATGTCCAAATAACGAATTCTAACTTTCTCAACATTCCTCACGATCTGTTCCGAGGATTTAGATTTGAGCAATTTATTTTGGATGACACATCACTAATGTCCCTCAGTGATTCAGATACCGCATTTGAGGGATTGGAAGATAGTTTGCGTTATTTGTTATTATATAACTGTTCTGTTCTTAATGGAATTGATTGGTACCAGCTCCGGAATTTGCAAGCGTTGGAAGAATTCGCAACAAGCAATATCGGATTACAATATATCGATGATGAGATAAACCTTATTGCTGGTTTGAATTTGACAACTTTGGCGCTTATGAAGGACGAAATTTCGCATATTAGTGATAATGCATTTGCGCCATTTCTTCAACTCCAAAATTTGATTTTAAGCAACAATCAAATTTCGGATCTGAAAAGGTATATGTTTCCAAATCCTGGAAACAAGCTGAAAGAAATTGATTTAAGGTAAGGATGTAATATATAATTATCAATCTTTTTTAAAGTAAAAAAGATTTTTTTAAAAGTTAAATAGCGTTGTTTGTCAATATGTAACTGCTCTATTCTTAATGGAATGAAGAATAGATTTTTATCAACTTCGGATTCTTCCTTTCGGTACCAGTTGGGATTTTGAGTGTGTTGCGAAACTTTACAACAAACAATAGCGGATTCAAGTATTTTGATGTTGATATAAACCTCACTGCTATAAACCCCATTCTTATATATTGAATTCGACAAATTTGACAATACTGAAACATGAAACTTCACATATTAATAAAAATGCGTTGGTACAATTTTTACAACTGCAGAATTTGATTTTGATGTAAGGGATAATTATGGACGTAATATTAATATTTTGAGTAAGTGGATAATATTATTTTGATATAATGGGTAATTATTCATTTTTTTATTTTAGCCCGTGAATTTTTTTAAAAATCAGTTTGCGTTATTTGTTAATATCTAACTGCTCTACTCGTAGTGTAAATTAAGACATTCTGCTTCGAATTCTTCCTTTTAATACCAGCTCCGGATTTTGAGTGTGCAGCAAGATTTTGCTACAAGCAATATCGGATTACAATATGTTGATATTGATATAAACCTTATTGCTATATATTGAAATTGACAACTTTGACGAAGCTGAAACACAAACGTTCCCACATTGATAAAAACGCGTCGGTACCATTTCTTCAACTCTAGAATTTGATTTTGATGTGATGGATAATTATGGATGTAATATGTATAATTATGGACGTAATAGATAACTTGATGTAATGGATAACATGATTTTTATGTGATTGACAATTATTAATCTTTTTATACTAACTGGTGAAAAAGATTTTGTCGAACTCAGTTTGCGTTATTTGTTAAGATATAATGGAAATAAGAATAAATTCTTATCAACTTCGCATTCTTCTTTCTGGTACCGGATTCGGATTTTACATAGGTAGCTAGATTTTGCAACAAGCAATACCAGATTACAATGTGTTGATGCTGAAATTAACCTTATTGCTATATTGAATTTGATGACTTTGACGCTGATGAAGAAAAAAGCTTCGCATATTCATAAAAAAATTCGTTGGTGCAATTTCTTTAATAGCGGAATTTGATTTTGAGCCAGAATCTACTTTCGGATCTGTAAAGAAGTATTTTTTTAAACTCTTTGATTGGCTGAAAAATACTGATTTACGGTAAGGATGTAATAAATTGTTATTATTCATTAAATGATATTCTGTGTTACGAATTTGTGAAGAGAAATGCTCATAAATTCAAAATCGATAGAACTCAAAATTTATTTCCTATATTGAAATGTTAGAGACAAGGTTCACTCTAACAAATATGTTTGGTTTAAATGATCAAATGTAAATTTCATTTAGTGAAGAATTAAAGCGCGAAATCCATATTGAATCAGTTACATCTGTTTGAAATAAACTGCGCAATGAAAATAGTGAGAGAAAATGAATCTCAAGTAATAAAGGAAAGCTTCGTAATTTTATAAATAATTTTCAATTTTTTTTTAAATCTTTAGTTTTGAAAGAAATTTAGGATGGTTTTGGGTAAATTCAAACCATTGGTTGCATATATAGATGAAGTTTAATTATCATCAAATCCAGTAAGGAATTTATGGGGTACCGGAATCTTTTTTTTTCTTATCTACAATCATATAAACTTGCTATTTATAAAATCAACTTTTTATTACTCAATTTTTAAAAAAATCATATTCGTAAGAGTCTAGTTGTCTCGTGTGGAAGTGAATACTGATCAATTAAAAAATATCTGAAAAAGATAAGCTGCTGGATTTTGGAAGAAAAATACTCCGAAAGATCTTTGATGCAGTTAAGCAAAATGATGTCATTAAAATACAATATAATGGGATACCTGCAAGTGACGTATTGCAGGTATCTCAATCCTAATTGGTTGTAGAAACGCGGGATTTGTTTGCATTATAAACTGTTCCTTCCATTCTATTTCGAATAAGTCAAGCTCATCAAGTATCAACTCTCTGAAATGACTAATTCGCTATTCTTTCACGAAGATTCTTTCACTAATATTCTTACATTCCTTTCTTAACACAAATACAGACACGAAGCCAAGTTGATACTAATTGTGCACCGAATTTTACAGGCACACAAAACAAAAATATGTCACGGTTACAATAAAATTCATAAGCAAATATTAAATCTAAGTTAAGTAGCAGATGTAAACAAGAAAAAATCATATTTTAACAAATGTGATGTGCGATGCGGAGCTGTATTTAATTAACTTCTAGCTGATTAACATTCTAACTTATGTGAAGAAACTTAGTTCGACTTTAACAAGCCATCAGCTGGAGCTGAAATCATAGGTCACGTGTCCATGTATCTGTGATCATCTTCTTCTCTAGTTGTTAGTACCCAATTATAAAATTTATAATCAATTTAAAGAACCAGATATTGTTTATAAAGGATATCAGTATTAGATGGCTAGGACGCATTTTTGGATATAGTGACTCAATCCCAAGTAAATTAGTGACTTTTTGAAAAATAGAGGTCACACGAAAAAGAGAAAGGCTCCCAGCAGGTGGGTTGGTTTTGTTGAGAGAGATCTGAGAGATCTGCGAGTCAACCGATGACAATCTTTTACGCCTGACTGAGTCAGATGAAGAAGACTCATGTAAACAGTCTAGGCCCGCGGCAGGCTGTAATGTCGAAGAAGAAGATTATTTATTTATTTATTCACTTTCTGTTTGTTTATTTACTGACAATGCAGATTTTTATGTGCTTCATTTCAAAAATATTTCGTTTAAAAAACAAGCACATTCTTAGTGATATACTTGTACTAATTCTTTCAAGAATTTTTATTTTATCAATTTTATTTAACTTTTTGCACGTTTATTACAGTTCTGTACTTAAAAATGCATTTAGTTTACTTCAACATTAATAATGGTGACAACTACACACCAAAATGCTTTCACAGTGCAATTTATTCACTGGTCCTTACTGACCCAAGAAAAAAAAACTTAATCTAACATTCCTGAATATTTCTTACAAACACACAACTGTTATGAAAATAGCGAATTTTTTTGCCTAAACGCTTTATTTTAAATGATGACAAAAACTTCGAAGACTAGCCGTAACACAAAATGAATCTTTACGAATAAATCTTAATTATCAGATAATTTCTAAAGGGCAACTTAATATTTCCAAATATGCTAGTTAATTAAGTGGGGAGTATAATTTAAGTTTTAAAAACAGAACAAAAACATTATTTCAAAAAACAATTTTGATTGAATTTTGAAGAAAAAAAAACAATTATGAATCTTAAAGTGAAAATTGCAATGTGAAAAATTTGCATGTGAGAAAAATTACAATGGGAAAGATTTTCCCACAATTGCTCTAGTTAGTGCAGAGCTGTTAAAAGTTTGAGTTCGTTAATGTATATTTTAATTTTAGCACATTTGTTGAATCTCAAGAATGAATAAAACGAGTTTAAAAAAAATTCGCTTATTTATAATGGCTTATACAACATAATTTTCTTAATCATTAGTTTTTTTCTCCATTATTTGCTTTAACCTCTTTATTACCTTCGCTTCTTAGCTTCCAAGAACACGCTATAAGAAAACTTGTAGTGAAAATTTATATTATGTTCACTGAAACATTCGTAGATATTTAAGCTTTCTGCAGATCCCATAGTAGATGCAGAGCATGTAAGTTATTTGCGTAAAATTCCACATAGACAATCCCGAAAATTGATTTTTGAATAATGACGCTAAATCCGCTTGCTCGAAAATGTAACAAATTGTAAATATTAATCTCAAAATAATTTTCTTCTTTTGACTTAGTGTTTCTGTGATCGGTATGAATCTTTCAAATTTGTATTTACTTAATATTTAAAAATAATAAAAAGTCAAAAACATGCAGGTCCACGTATAGGCACCTCTAAGAGCCTTATGTAAGGCGAAATTTTTGACATCGTAGTATTAAAGTGANAAACATTAATTAATCTCAAAATAATTTTCTTCTTTTGACTTAGTGCTTCTGTGATCGGTATGAATCTTTCAAATTTGTATTTACTTAATATTTAAAAATAATAAAAAGTCAAAAACATGCAGGTCCACGTATAGGCACCTCTAAGAGCCTTATGTAAGGCGAAATTTTTGACATCGTAGTATTAAAGTGAAATCTCATAGTATTAAGAGTATTTTAGCTCTTAGTTATTCAGTAATATTTTTAGGTGTATTTTAACTGTTTTATATATAGGTACATACATACATTTAATATTTTTAACGTTTTGTGTTCTTCATAAGTTGGAAATTTTACCCCCAAGGAATAAATATTTTATTATAGTTAATGTTATATTCTTTTCAATTATTATTTATTTTGCGTGGTTTGCATAACTAAAACAGTTTAGAATCTGAGATTTAATGCAGTAATTTATTGGTAAACATAGGCATTGCATCTAGTATTACATCTCATTCTTAAAAAACTTCATATTTTTCTAAAATGTAATTTTTTAAATTAATCTATCCATCATTGCATTTAAATAGGCCAAAATATAACATTATGCGTGTTTCTTCCTACTTTAGGTACAATTTAACAATTGAATTATTTTTATTATTTAACTTAGTTATTTCTGTTACTTAACCTCTAAAATTATAAGCCCCCTGGGAGTATGGTTCATATTTTGCTTACCTTCTTATAACTTATGGCTGCAAAATAGAAATTCGGAACTATGAAATAATTTTTTGTTATATTCATTTATACTTCAGTAGTGAAGAGGTTAAGAAAGATCTTAATATTTATATTTATTTGAGACATAATATTTGACGTTGCCCCTTGAAATGTTAGCATCGTCCAGTAGTACGTGAAAAATCGTGTGATAAGACGATTTTTCACGTTTTCTTAGCGTTTTTTTCTTAATTAGCTAACTCTTCTTGATACAAAATTTAGTTATTCATATTATTTTGGGTATTATTTGACGCCGAGGTTGAAAATG